TGGCACTACAGTACCAAGAGAACAGTAAAGCTGAAGGTTAGCTAGACCCTGCTGCAAAATGGAAAAACAGTTACTCCCATAGACAGCACTTCTCCTTATCTACTGTCATTCTCACCGGGGGCTTTTTCAGTGCTTTTCTCCAGCAAGCTCTTGATTAGACATAGGGGTTTGGTCATCACAACTATTTAAGCATTGTGGGCTTTTTAAACACAAAATACTTCTAACACTAAAAGCATAGAAACTTTTAAAACTGATACATTGGCATTGTCAAAACAAAAAAAAAGTAAGGGGGACTTCTAAATCCCTAGCCAGCTGAAGTTCAAAGTCATCAAACACTGAAATTGTTCTGAAGTAGCAAAAAATCGAGCCAAGGCTTGACACGGTGGCGTTTCTGAACTAATACAGCTATTTTGAAATGCAATAACTTTTTTGATAGCATCTGTCTAGATGCAGGCAGTTGTATTTTAATAGTGATCTAGTAAATGCTGGCTTACCATTTATATTGACCTGGAGACACTTTGCTTCTTTCCGTTTTCCTTGAAATATGGTCACACTACCCATTTTGTGCGCTTTATTGCTTTACGCATTTTTAAGACTGCCAACCCCTTTTCTGAAGATTTCTCCCAACCAACTTTTAATTATTGAATCGTCTGCAGGATGCTACATGAATGGTAACCCATAACTACCCACATCTTCGTCACAGAATCACAGACACAGAACCACAGAAACATTGATTGGAAGAGACGAGACCCCTGAAGCCCAACTTCCTGCTCAAAGCACATCTATTGGCAGCACCAGATCAGGTCAGCCATGGCTTTGTCTAGCCATGTTTCAAAAATCTCCAAGGACAGAGATCCAGCAATCGGGACTACTTTCCTCTTTCATTCTTTTGCATACATTTGTATCTTGATTGTGAACATATTGATCTTCACCCTCCACATTTCTGAACAAATGTGTTCTACGCTACAAGCACAACAAGGATACAGCAACGTGGCTGTCAGTCGTGCTGTTCTGTAAATTGATGGGGCTATGTTTTCCCTTTCATTCTATTTTAGTATTCCCATCTTATTTTGTTGACGACCATTTCTCCATCTGTCCACAGCCAGTGAAATTACAGACTGTGAGTCTAATGAGCCCATATCAGTCATCACTTCTCCAACAGAAAAAGTCTTTAATGCAAATTGACGCTCAAACCAACAAAGCCTCAGCATGACAACACTGAACCCCATTTATTTCTCTCTTCATGCCATTCCCATGCAGTTCGGGGCACCAAGTCACTAAGGTTTCTAATTTGAATAATTTGTGCCCTGCTAACAATAGCTTGAAGTAGAAAGGGAATCTGGAGGCTGTGAGAGTATTTTTCACTTTGTTGTAGGAAAGATTTCCAGATTCCTGGAAAACCACTCCTCCCTGTGCCCTCATCCGAGTCCTCATCTCATGGCCAGCCTGTTTTGTACCACTGCTAAGCACGTACTACGCATTTGGGTGTTTTAGCTCCTAGGAAGGCTCGGTAATCTTCTATATTATCACCTTGGAGCAAGCGGTGGCTTGAACAAACCACCGCCCAAAAAGGCGGCCGGCGTATTTATCAGTTGGGACATAGGGGTCAATGTGAAAAGCTGCTTGGGTTTTATGACCTCGTGGAGTAAAGTCCATCTGCTGTCTCCTGCCTGCGGCCACAGGGTGCCTTCCTCTGCCTTCAAACCTTCTCCCGGTCCCCTAGTCCCTGTCAGGGTTGAGGTGCAGCCCCCCGGAATCCGACCGCACGACAGCGAGGGAACAAACACCCCCACGCCGCACAAGAAAGCCGGCAGCTGGGATAGTGCTGGAGGACTGTGCCACAGCGGCTGCATCGAAGTGGAACGGCCTGGTTTATACTGGTAAGCAGTTAGCATTGCGGGGACTGCTCCGAGCGCAGAGCCATGCTGGGAAGCGCCTGGGGAGAGGGCTGGCTGGCTCTGCCCCG